AATTGGAGCTATTTCTACACCATCCGTTTCCACTTCAAGCAGGTGCTTCCCAAGTCTCTATATTCAGCCCTAACCTTTATCTAGAGTTTCAATACAGCATTTCCTTGTAATCTACACTAATATGTCCTATTAGCTATTTAAAATCAAATTGCTCCAAACTGAAAATCTTCTCTCCCAACCCGATCTTATTCCTAAATTGCCTGCTCCCCTTTGAGTTGTAAGCTCAAAGCTTTAGTATCATCTTTGACTCTTCTCTCTCTTCTGCTCCCTTGTCCATAGAGCCGTGAAGTTCTGTGAAATACCATCTTTCTCAACACTCTCCATTCCACCACCATCCATTACTAAGACAGCATCCAATAACATACTAATGTAGCGACCAAGTTCTGCTCTCTCCCTAATTTATTATATTATTTTATCAAGAAGAAAGTAATTTAGTGAAGCAGTTCTGATCAAAACTTGTTTTCCTGTATTTTCACTATGATCTTCAAAAGAGTCATTCCCACTACTTCATATTCACGTTTTTCTTCATGCTGTTCCCACTTCCTGGTCAAATTCTACCCATTCTTCAAGGGTCAGTTCAGTTATTACCTCTTCCTTAAAGCTTTCCAGGTTGCCCTTGTCTGAAAATACCTACAGCACCTTATCTATATATCTCATTTTATTTATCACTTTCTGCCTTTTATTATTTATTATTGTATTGTATTGAATCTTATCTCCCTTATCATACTATAAGCTCATTGAAGGCAAAGTCCATGGTGAATTCGTATTATCTCCCCAAATACCTACCCCAATGTCCTATGCAGAGTAAGCTTCCCGAAGAATCAAAGTGCTAGTATAAACAGCAAATATAATTACGACTGGAAAGCTATCAAATAAGTCGGCCATACACAAAACACCATAATATTACTGAAGTTGTGGCAGGAAGCAAATGGGAAAAATAGAAGGGAACAAGGGAAGAATGAGGGAAAACCAGAGAGCTTCTAAGGCAGGCAACAATTTAACACGGCATTCTGAACACAATTAACACTTGCTAAATCTTTGCTGATCTCTGAATGAGCCTTTACATCCCAAAGCATGGCTACCACTAGCAAAATTTTTTCCTTTACTTTCCTATTTTGGCATACTAACTATAAAAAAGTAACACAAACAACTAAAAAAGGCAAAACAGCTACAATTCTTCCAATACTTACTGTTTTATTCTGTATAAAAAAAGAATTAAAACATTTTCATAGTAACACGTATTTTATGTATATTATACTCTGTACCAAGATGACAATTCAGATAATCTGTCAGCACAGTGCAACAAAAATATAACTTGAGAACTCTACTATCACCATTATCATACCATCTTTGGGCGACTCTGCAGATCTTGTGGCGGCTATCATCTTTGCAGCTGGTGTTTGATCGTGACAAAGCTGGTGCAAGAAATTTATTGATTTTCCTATCAGAAGGACCTGAACAAAGGAAACAGTCCATGGTTACCTTCATACAAACTTAAAACGACAAGTCCTACAAGTATTACAGATATTCATAAGCTATACATTGGCTATTGATTAAAAATTCAATAACAAAAGCATTTGGTTTTAGTATCAAATGAATTCTCGGAATACAACAAAAGCGTATTAATCTGCTACCATATTCAATTAATATAAATTTCACATCAAGAGTGTTAAAAAATATTAAAATGCTACAAAATTTTGTTTAGAGTTTAATCACAAATATCAGGTATACATAGAATTAGAACATCAAAATCATAAAAACAATTCTTCAGCCTTACCTTTCTAGACTGATCCATTGTAATAAATGAAGGGATCATGGATTTCCTTAAAGTGTACTTGTCGTGCCACAGTCTATCTGTTTTAACTGTGGGATCCGATGCTACAAAAAACTGAAAGAAAAAGGGCATTAAAACATTAAAAAGTGATATTTATGGCAAAATTATTAGCTAACCAGTAGCACCAAAGAACAAGTTACTCTAGAAAGTCAAGTCCTCCAGGTACAGGGAGAATTATCCATTTATACAATACTTGCTTTAAAAAGTATTTTGGGTAAAAATCTCTCTAAACTGAATAACGTATTTCCCAGACTTTTAAAACCAAAGTGTAATAAAAACAACTAAATCTTCTTCTTGAAGACGTGTGATCCTCCTTATGAATACCAATTATAGGCCTCGATGTATAACACTAATGATCTAAGCATCAGAATCTAAGAGCTTACTAATAAGGGTGAAGTTCTTTTCTATCTTAGTAAAGCCACTCAAACCGCGAGAGCTTTTTGAGGTACTTTCTGTTGTTCTGCTTGCTGTCTTCGTGTTTAGCTTTAAAACTTCATTCATAATCTCAAAAATAAAAAAAATAATAATCTTTCCATTTTTTGACCTCATGTTCAACTCTCTATAACTAATACTATCTCTGTGATATGAGAGTAAAATAATAAAAATAAAAAAGTTACCATAAAACTAATGGCTTGAAGAGAGGTCAACATTATGATTACCCTATATTTAAATTCACTACCTGAAAATCTGTTTATGGAACCATAAGCAACAACCCATTCATTTAGTTATACAGCATATCATCCTACATGACTCTATTAGCATTACAATAAAATAGTCCTCTTCACCATATTCATAACAGAAAACAACCTTAAATGTAAAATACTAACCAAATTTATAAAAACTTATTTTATAATCAACTAGCTCCCTACATACCTGGTCAGCAGGTAAATAGTTTACAGGATAGTCTAAAGGGTGCCAGAAGGCTTTGCCTTCCACATTATTTCCCCAAGGACAATTCAAAGTTATCACGCTTCTCATAGCTGATATAAAGTGTAACAATTTTCCATTTCCAAGACTCCCCAAAGAAAGACGATGCTTAAGTTCCTATCTCTAGGAAGCCTCCATAAAAATATAAAATACAGTGTAAGGGGAAAAACAGCCAATATGTCCCCTCTGTCATTTCCCATTAGTCTAGTGATTTAAGTGTCAGGGACACACAGAATCTAGTGCTGAGGTGAGGTGAAGACACAGGCAAGAGAAATCTGGCAATGCCAAGTCCCTAGGGTTTGTAACAATGGGATAGGCATTTATGGCAATGTGGCAATAAACTTGATCACAGTTATGCCTAGGAATGACACTAAAAGCTGTTTTACCAAAACATATGACATGTGAACAAATCTTAAAAAAAAAAAAAAAAACTTCTACAACTTAACAACAAAAGACAAACAGCTTAATCAAAAAATAATCAAAACATAAGCAAAAGACTTGAATAGACATTTCACCAAAGAGGGTACCCAAATGGCCAACAAATACACGAGACGTTCAATGTCATTAGCCATTAGGGAGACGCAAATCAAAACCACAATGAGGTACCACCTCACCCCATTAGAATGGAAATGACAAAAAAAAAATGGAAAACAACAAGTGTTGGTGAGGTTGTGGAGAAACTGGAATGCTCGTCCATTGCTGCTGGGTCCTGTATATAATCAAGCAAATACCTACATAAACCTATATATATGTACATTTTTTATATATTAGCCATTACTAATATATTCTGTAGGGAACAAGACTTGAGTAGACTCATTTATCCACTCAACAAAATGTATTAAGTACCTTCCATGCTGAAGGCACTGAGTTGGGTACCTGAGGAATAATAAAAATTTATCTAACATGGAAACTACTCTCAAGGATCTTACAAGGTAAATGAGGTAAATGCATGAATAACTGCAATAAGATGAAGGAAGACATGAGTCATAAAAGGCTAAACAAGGGAAACTTAATTCCAAATAAGAGCAGTCACTTATTCATTCGTTCAAATAGATAATTTACTTAGTGCCTATAATATGCCAAGTATTATTCTAGGTACTGGGATACAACAGTGAACAATTCAGAAACAGTCCCTACCCTCGTGAAAGTCCTATTCAAGTGCAGAGAACAACCACACATTTATGGTCAAGCGATCTTCGACAAGACTGCTAAGTCTATTCAACAGGAAGAGTCTCTTTAATAAATGTGCTGGGAAAACTGGATTTCTACAGCAGAAGAATGAATCAGAATCCATGCCTCACATCATGTACAAAAACCAATTTAAAATGGATCAAGCACCTAAACGTGAAAACTAAAAATATAAAATTCTTAGAAGAAAACTGTAGGACCTAGTTTTTAACGTTGTATTATCAGATAGGATAACAAAAGCACAAGCAGCAAAAAAAAAAAACAGATTAATTGGGTTCTCATAAAAATTAAATACTTTTGGTTCATCAAAGAACTTTATCAACAAAGTAAAGAGACAACCTACAGATTGGGAAATAATTTTTTGGAACCATATATCCAATAAGGCTCTAATACCCAAAATGTATTTTAAAAAAAACTTCTACAACTTAACAACAAAAAGACAAACAACTCAATCAAAAAACAAGCAAAAGACTGGAACAGACATTTCACCAAAGAGGACACCCAAATGGCCAACAAATACATGAGAAGATGTTCAATGTCATTAGCCATCAGGGAGACGCACATCAAAACCACAATGAGGTACCACCTCACCCCATTAGAATGGAAATAACCAAAAAAATGGAAAACAACAAGTGCTGGTGAGGTTGTGGAGAAACTGGAACGCTCATCCACTGCTGCTGGGAATGTAAAATAGTACAGCTACTGTGGAAAAGAGTCTGGAGGTTCCTCAAAAAGTTGAACATAGAACTAGAACTATCACACAACCCAGCAATCCCAATCCTAGGTATACACCCAGAAGTGAAGGCAGGAACGAAAACAGAAATCTGTAAACCAATGTTCATCACAACAATTCCCCCAATAGTCAAAAGGTGGAAACAACTGAAATGTCCATCAACAGATGAATGGATAAACAAAACGTAGTATATACACACAATGGAATACAACTGTGCCATAAAGAGAAATGAAGTTCTGATGGATGCCAAAACAAGGATAGATGTTGAACATCCATGCTAAGCGATTTAAGTCGATCGCAAAAGGACAAATATTATATGATCTCACTTATACAAAATAAGCAAATATATAGAAATCAAAGATTATTAGTGGTTATCAGGGACACGAGAGAGGAGGAAAGGGGAGATTTTGCTTAGGGCAGACTCAGTTTATCTTAATGGTGGTAAATGATTTGGAAAAGGATAGCGAGAATGGTTGCACAACTTGAAAAATGTAATCAAGGTCACTGAATTATACATGTAGAAACTGTTGAGATGGCATATGTTTTGTTACCTGTATTTTCACCACAATTAAAAAAAAGTGTAGAGAGAGAGAAGTACATAAAGAAATACAGATATAATATAAGGCACTGAGCACTACCTGGTAATAAAGAAAAGGAAAGCAGGGTAGAGATAATAAACAGAGAGTAGAGAGACAGCACTTTAGATTGGGGGTATTCATCTCAAGGGTTCTGTAAGTGTGTGTACGCGCGGGCGCGGGTGTTATGTATACCTTGCCTAACGCTAATGACATCAGGGTCTTATATTTAATCCTTGTTAGCAATGCTAAAAGCTGTCAATTATGTACACCAATCTCCTTTATAAACACGCATATGAATAAATGTAAAAAATTTTATGACCATAGGGAAAAGCCCGCTATCTTTGTTTTCAACTAAAATTTCTTACCTTCAGGTTTCAATTTAAATTATTAAAGCACTAATTGATCTTTGCATTTTAGACTTTTTGATTTATATTTCCCTTCTAATTGTAAACATATACCTAATTAACTGTGTTGAGAGATAAACAGAACTACTATAATGAGGTTATCATCATTTTAACATATAGTTATATTATCTCTGATTGAAATTTAAGAACTTCATTAAGCCCACCATGAATAATCCAAATCTAACTATGCTATGGTTGTTCTACAGCTTGCCATTGAATATGCTAGATTAATTCCATATAAATTATATTTATCTGCTATTCACTTAAACAGAAGAGCTAGTTTTTATAAGCAACACACTAATTCACCCTGATATGTAGAGTATAGCTGGATTTTTATCAGTATGAACAGTAAGAAAATTTAATTTAAAAAAGACAAAATCTCAGACAATTCAGCCATCTTTGTAAGTTACAAAAGCATTATTTCATTTAAGGGCAAAGTGGCATGTAATTACTCTACTAGCAAACATTCAGTAGCAAACACAAAGAGGCATAGATATATTTGAGATTATAACTAATCCTATGAAAAATATATAGTTACAGAGGGGGAAAAAAATCAAGGTCAGAATATAATTGCAATATGCTTTTATTTTACTGATGCATTTTTTTCCACTCAAGGTTCTCTAATTTTCACCATTATGTCAAACACAGAAACAACTGAGAAAAAAACAAATATAATTGTACTATGATTTCTCAGTAACTGTTGGACAAATGCCAAGGCATTTAAAAACAGAAATAAAAAGGGTAATTTTCTTAGCAAGCAACTTAGTTTCTAAGAATCAGATCCATTAATACAGACCATAAAAGATCCCAACTTCAACCTGTCAGTCACACAGGTGACTACTAAGGAAAGATTTCCCCTAAGGCCACACCCTAAGGAAATAAAAGGGCACCTGGACAAGGGGGACGGGTGAGCTGGTCAGCTGATTTGTATGATAAAAGATAACTTACAAGGTAAACATATAAATTACAATGCATGGGGGGTGGATATAAAATAGCAAAAGGGTAAGATATTTGTAAATGGTGGACTTTTAAATTTAAATAATTCTTAGCAAAAATTGAAGAGAACAAAATAACAAGAGAGATGAACAGATCCACAGAGACATTCCAAACAGAGGATACAGCATCACTGACCTTCAAATTAAAGATGCAGATTTTTAGGGTATTATTAGAGTGTTTAAGTAAACATTTAAAGCAAGTCTAAAATTTTCTAATTTTGAAAGCAAG